CATGTGTAAGGCCTTAGAAAAACAAGTTAGAGACCTAGTCCTAAGCCTCCATGCACCAATGATTCTCTTTACCTAAAAGCTGCTGGTCTAGGCCAGAGAGATGGCTCAGCAGGGAAAGACACTTGCTATCAAGCTTCAGGGCCTGAGTTCAGTCCCCAGCACCCGCATGGTGGAGGGAGAGAAGCAGTTCCCATAATCATCCTCAGAGCACATGCATAATGTGGCATTTTCTGCCCACACTCACATACTCACACACAAAAAATAAATATTTTTTTTCAGCAGGCATGATAGCTCATACCTTAATCCTAGCACTTGGGTGGCAGAGGCAGGTGGATCTCTGAAGCCATCCTGGTTTACAGCAGGAGTTCTAGGACTACACAGTGAGACCCTGTCTCAAAGTCAAAAAAAGAACTGCTGACTTAACCCAGGAAACATGTGCCAGGTCTGACCAACCAATCTACAACCCACATGTGACAAACAAGAACAAATGGCTCAACTCAAGATCATAAATTTAAAAGCCAAGCATGTAATCCCAGCACTCAGGAGGCAGAGGCAGGTGAATCTCTTGGGTTCGAGGCCAGCCTTGTCTGCATAGGAAGTTTCAGGACAGCCAGGGCTACAGAGAGAAACCCTGTATTAATAATAAAAAAAAAAAAAATCACAAATGAGATTTCTTACATGTATGATCTTTTGCCAGTGGGAAGTGGGGGAAGAAAAGGGAAGACTAGCCTTATTGTACGGTTCTTAGGCATGAACCTGGTAGAAGACAGTGTTGTGTTGCAATGTCAAATGGTCAAATAAGACTGTGAGTCTAGACTCCATTCCTTTCTGAAGAAATAAGATACTGAACTTGATACCAGCCTGGCTGTCCCCCCTCATCCCTCTCTCTTCCTTTGTCCTTTTGTCTGACTGGAACACAGCCTTCAAGGACAGGGCTTCACCCTAACTAGCTTGCAAACCCTAGAGAACACCTCAGGGCTTTGCGGCCAGCAGGAAAAGCTGCCCCTTGCCTCTGGCTCATCTAATATTGCTCCTGCCCAGCAGCTGGCCTGTGCTCTGTCCCCGTTCCTATGGTTCATCTAGGTTTCTAGCTTGGCTTGAGGACAAGCTACATTGCTTTCCAGGAGCAAGAAAGGCAGGGTGGTATGGAGAAAAGAGAGGAGGCATCAGGTAGCGGAGGAAATTGCTTGGAAAGTACCTACTGGGCTTAGACAGGCCAGACCCTAAGAGTTGACTGTGATCCTTGTACCTGCCAGGTGTTCCTGCATGAAGCCACTGTGCGCTTGATGGCAGGAGCCAGCCCCACACGAACACACCAGCTGCTAGAGCATAGCCTACGGCGGCGTACCAGTCAGAACACCAAGCATGGTGAGTCTAGCAGCTCCCTTACCACAGGCCTGGTGTAGCCTTGCGCTCGGAGCAGGGAGGATGGAGCCCTGGCATCTGGGGAAGTGCTCTACACACTTGACTGTCTTGGCCACTTAGTGGGAATAAAAGGAGCTGGCACTTGTCTCAGTAGGCAGCAGGAATGGTGTTAGCTGAGTAGTCGTGAATGGGGCTTAGGGTGTCATCCAGTGCAGGAACAGGGTAGAAGTTGCATAGGTTCTAATATCTCAGCCCACACAGTGACTGTATGGAATGCCTGCCAAGTTCATCTGTCCTGTGAGGAGGACTAGGGAGAGAGCAGAACATACCTCCTCACAGGATGACGGGGTGAGTTCAGCAAATGAGGCCACATCAAGTCCTTGGGACAGTGCTTACATAAATCTCATTCCCACAGGAGACGTAGACACCTGGCCTGGCCAACGAGAGCGAGCTACTGCCATCCTGCTGGCCTGCCGCCATCTTCCCCTCTCTTTCCTGTCTTCCCCAGGCCAGCGGGCAGTGCTGCTGGCTGAAGCTGCCCGCACCCTGGAGAAGGTGGGTGACCGACGTTCCTGCAATGACTGCCAGCAGATGATTGTCAAGCTGGGTGGTGGCACTGCCATCGCTGCCTCCTGACCACGTCGGGGGCTTGGTCCACCTCTTTCCACCTTTGTCCCTTTCTCCCAGGACCTTCCCTCTGTGTCTCAGACTGTCTGCCCATCTGTTTTTCTTCCTTCTCCAAGAGCTGTGAGGATGAAGGCAAGACTGACTTTCTAAGCTGTACCTGCCAAGGCTTTTGGATTGTTTCAGGCCAGTAGGACCATGGGCAGAGCTCCTTACAACTGCTGTGGTCTCAGCCCAGGTGGCCTGAGCAGGAATGGGGTGATCTCCTCACTTGAAAGCAACATAGGGTGCTGCCGAGCACTTTCCCCAGCCCTCTGGAGACGAGTGTCTCCCTCTCTGCCTCTTGGGTTTTTTTTTTTTTTTTTTTTTTTTTTATGTTTTGTTTTTTGGTTTTTTATCAAGCTTTCTCTGGGAACTAGGTCTCTGTGCACCAGAGAGCATTTTGCATTCTGGTTATCTGGCATGCCCCTTTTTATACAGATGTTTTTATATGTGTGCTTGGCCTGCCACGATACAGGGCAAAGTTGCTGTGGCATCTTTATTTCTCTCTCTGGGTCTGCATTCCTCCCCTGTGCCTGACTAAGCCTGTTCATTGTTTTCTCGTCATTACAAGGGACAGCCAGGGAAGGAAGGGAGCCCAGCCCTGGGAGGTGGGTGGGAGGCAGGGGCAGGTCTAGGGATGGATGAAATAATGTTGGCATTGTTTTTTAATTTTTTAAAAAATAAATGGTATCTTATTTAATTGTCCTGTTCCTTCCCACTCCTCCACCCCCTGAGATGGCAGCCTGAGCTCAGGGAGGCCCAAGGGGCTGGACAGGATGAAGCCACCATTGGGCCTGGGATCCAGGGGTCTTTCTTCAGCATGATTATTTGTTCCTTCCTAGCTCAGCCTAACTCCTACCTCCCGTATAGTGTATTTTTATCCTGAATTCCTGTCTGTGAGTAAGCCAGGGTGGCAGATACTGGTCCCAAGCCCTCCTCAGCAGCAAGCCTCTTTTTCAGGGTAGGAATCAGGTCTCTTGCCTTGGGATGGGGGAGTCCTAGGAAGAAGAGTGGTCCTGCTTTTCTGGACTGCTTGGTCAGGGCTTCCTGAGAGACTTAAGAGGAATTCTCCCACCTTGTGCTTCTCTTCCCTTCAAGCTGGTTGAAGCAGAGAGCAGGCAGGGGTGGGCCCTTCCTGTGCTTGGACCCCACCTATCCTATCCTCTGTCTCTCCCCAGCTATCACTGTAATTTATGGCCCCCGCCCACGGGGCAGCCCAGCCCTTATGTCTTGTGTATATTGTGCCTTTTCTCCTTGTTGGGGGGGGTGGGAGGGTGGTTTTTCACTGAACAGGGGATACACCTATGTCTTCCTTGATGTTGACACATTCACCATGTGCTGGACATAGGTTATTCAATAAACACAGATTGGTACCACCTAACAGGCTGTGTGAGTCTGTAGTATACCTCTATAGTCTCTTAACCAAATGACTGCCTAACGTGGCCAGCAGTGGGCTAGGACTAAGAGCAACCAGGTGGCTGCAGTCTGCTGGTCCTTTGCTGCCCACAGGTGTACTTGACAAATCCTAGGGATGGGTGAGGGTCTGGGATAAAAGGTCTGTCATCCAAGTTCCAACCTCTTGCCTGACCATTCAGCTGGCTGGCTGGTGGACAGTAGCAGTTCTTTGCAACTTGAGGTGTGAAGTCACTCCTCCATCGGGTGGGCCACTCCTTCATTTCCACTTACTGTGGGCAGGGCCCTCCTAAGCAGCTCAGCAACTGATGGCCACATACAAGTGTGGTTTCTGCATTTCCCGCTGAGTCCTCTTGCCCCCACTTGCATGTATGCAGACTGGGATAATCCATACCCTTGACCTCGGCACCACCGGCCCGTTGCTCAGATCAGAGTGATGGACGCTCACGAAGTACCAGTGTGCAGTGAGCACTTGGTGAGGCTGTGAGGGGGGTGGCACGACCACGTGCAGTACTCGGGCCTTGGTAGAGGTAGAGTGGAGAATTCCGCCTAAGAAGGAGCCTCAGGCTGACCTGTTTGGTATGTGGCTGAGTCTTGTTCATCTGGCCGAGAAACAACCCTGAACCACGTTGTGAATGGCATCAACAGCAAAGTACACCGCAGAGGATTCGAGCAGCCAGGAGGCACAACTAGCGCATTTATTCAAGTCGGCACTTCGGTAGTGACCACTGCCCTTGGCCTCGGCCTAGCCCCAGTGAGCAGATAAGGCTCTTGAGCAGAAAAGTCATGCTTGGCAGCCAAGACCTGCAACAATGTGGCAGGTGGCCTGAGTGACTGACCAACTTATCTGCAGTCAGCCCATAGATCTCTTAGGATTAGAGATGGCAACAAATGATAGCAGTGTTCCACTCTTTGGAACACAGGAAGGGCTGTAGCTAGGGTATCCCCACACATAGCAGAATCTGGAACTGAGGAATTGGGGAAGGTGCAAAGAGGTGCAAAGAGGCAATGACAGTACGCTGGGCTTCAGCCAGTACTGGGAGCTTGTGGCAGGAAGGGGGTAAGAGAGCAGTGCCAACCCTGTGTAGTGGGAGCAACCCCAAGGGAGGGGCATTGCTAGGCTCCCATTCCAACATCTCCATCCCCCTAACCCCAGAGCAGCTCCTGGCTAGGCTCCTCTATCCTGAGCACCAGATGTCCATGTGGTCCGCACCCATTAGGGGGGTGGCCCTGGGCCAATCTGGTCAAGCAGCCTGCAAGCTAGGAGCCGGCCCAGGGCCAGACTATGTCCATGAGGATCAGCCAGGCCGAGCTAACTGAAACTTGAGTGAGAGATCAGCTGTGGGGAGGGGAGGGGCTAGCCTCTAGAAGAGCACATGGACCCTCTCCCCTGAACCCAGATCTTAAGACACTGAGGCCTAACCGCTCGCTCTTCTATGGCTGGCTCTGCTCTGAGCAACGTTTGGCATTAATCCAGCCATCATCCTCTCTGGCTTTTCTCGGGCTTGCACTGCTGTCAGGCACAGTCAATGACTGACGATCCCCTTGAGACAGGAACCACATTAGAGGGTTTATTTACACAGGTAAGGATAGCCCTGCATTCCCAAGGACAGAACACATGGCCCTACCCTTTTGGCCCCTTAGCCACGGGCTCCAAATGTCCCCAGTCCCGTGTGGATCGAAGCCAGCACTGCCACTCCACGACCTGGGGCCCCAGACCCCACAGAAGGCTCCAGTGGTTCCATTTCAGACGGTGACTTCAGCTTTGCTGTTGGTGCTTAGGTGCCGGGGCCCTCTGCCGGCGCTGCTGTAAAAGGTGGTAGGCTGTGTGCTGAAGGCCTCGGGCAACTTCTCCACGCTGAACTGACGCCGTGGCACGTGGCTGGGCCGCCGGGGTGCAGGGGAGACGTGAGCCACCAAGTGGCCACGGGGGACCGGCCGCGTGGGGCGGCCCGCGGTCCAAGCTGCATAGGGGACGGATGCGACAGGGCCGGTGGGAGGTACGTAACCTGGAGGGGCCCAGGGACAGGCTTCGAGCAGCGCAGGCAAGTCCTCCGGGTTACGCGGGCCCCGCGCTGGGAGGGTTCGTGGGGCCGGCTCGGTAGAGGGAAAACGTTGATAGAAGTCCTGGGGTGCGGCCTCTGCAGGGTGGAGGGGAGGAGACAGGGTCAGTCGACACAGCACTGGCTTTAGGAGACGGGTCAGCTGCTGAGGAGGGAGTTGATTGGCTGCTTGGGGATGTCCTGAGCTCGGATTGGCCAAGCGGGCTGCTCTTGAGGGAGAGAAGGTAGCGTCTCTGGGGAACTGACGCCAGCAACATGCACCTCACCTGTGGCCTTTAGGGCTGCTGCTTTGAGAGTAGCGAACTTGGTGTAATCAGGCTGCAATGTCAGGCTGCCACCACCCTGCAGCCGGGGGCCGCGCGGGGGTCCCGGGGTGGCAGATCCCAGAGGCGCATTATTGAGGCGTTTCTTGTCTGGAAGGGAGCGGGGCGGGGGTATGAAGACAGCAAACTGACCCTGCCTGCGCCACCACCTCTTTTCAACACCCTTCCCAACAGCAACTGCAGGCAACCTGGGTCACGGACAGCTCTCCAGAATGTCCTGGCTTAGCTCACAAAAACATGAACAATGGCAGCAAGCCCCGAAGGGTGCTTGCTACCCTAATGCACGTCTCGCTAGTTAGCAAGGCGCTAAATCCCTGGACCGCTCCCCAGAGATGGAGGGGCACTGAACTCCATGTAAATAGTGGAGGAACGGCCAAGAAGACCAAGAAATGGGTTCCAGACTCACAAAGCCAGAGCCTCGGAACCACAGCTCTAGCCAGCGTATCCTGAATCTCGAGCCTACCTCACCGCATCCTTGCCCAGGAGACAGGAGGCAACAGGATGGTTCCTCTCCACCAAGGACTTGTCGGACCCCAACCACACTCCTGCACAGGCAGCCCCCTCCCCTCGTTTATATACAGCAGGCAGCAGTTCCATCCCCAACCCCCACCCCGCTCCCTAGCCAACCAATCAACTCTCCCCACTCCCACGGACCAATGGCCGGCCAGTAGCCTGCTCACCTGTGCTGTTGTGGGGGGAACCCCGAAGAATACCATCACCCATTTGGACCTGGACACAGTTACCCAGGGGTGGGCCCAGAGGTGGAGGCAGTGGTTCCTGGGGGCTTGGCTGTTTGAGAAGTTCTGTCAGTGTTCTGTGGAGAAAGGAAGATGTGGAAGGGACTTGTAGGCCCCAGCCTCTCCAGTTAGATAGGGCTGGCGGTCGTCACCGCTATCTCACTTTGAATTATTATTATTATTATTATTTTTTTTTTTTTGGTTTTTCGAGACAGGGTTTCTCTGTGGCTTTGGAGCCTGTCCTGGAACTAGCTCTGTAGACCAGGCTGGTCTCGAACTCACAGAGATCCGCCTGCCTCTGCCTCCCGAGTGCTGGGATTAAAGGCGTGCGCCACCATCACCCGGCTGAATTATTTTATCATTTTATGAATACCGGGGCTTTGTCTGCGTGCATGCATGCTCAGTGCCCTCAGAGGCCAGAAGATTCTTGGAACTGGGGCTCCAGGTGGTCATAAACCAGTGGTCCTCAACCTTCCTAATGTTGTGACCCTTGAATGCAGTTCCTCGTGTTGCGGTGACCCCAACCATATAATTATATTCATTACTACTTCATAACTAATTTTGCTACTGTTTATGAATCCTAATGTAAATAGCTGTGTTTCCCAATGGTCTTAGGCGACCCCTGTGAAAGGTCGTTCCCCTCACAGGCTGAGAAGCCCTGTCATAAGCCAACATGTGGTTCCTGGGAATTGAACCTGGGTCCTCTGAGAGAGCAGCCATCTCTCCGGTCCCCCATGGTGGACCACTTTGTATCTCTGGGCAGTTCTTTGAGCCTCTCTGGGCCTCCCCTCTGTTCTTTCTAGTGATTAACCTGGAACATCTCGCTTCCCCTACCAGGCATGACCTGTCAGCCTTGCTTGTGGCCCCAAGATGGCCATCTCCCAAAGCAGGTCAGGGAAGTAATGAGGTCATATGGAACTAGGGCCACCTTGTGTTCCTGAGGCTCCTTACTGTGGCTCACTCTCCGAGACCCTCCCTCCTGAGCCTCTGCATCTGTTATCCTTCTCCCCAGCTTCTCCCATACTCTGTCACTCAAATGCTACCAGAGTCCCCCCTCCAAGGTCTCCCTTACCTACCTGCACTCCCGCTGTGTGGGGTTTCTGCTGGGCCTGGGACCTAACTGCCACACAGGCAAGGAAGGCAGACAATGAAGAAAACAGGGAAGCCACGGAGATCTCTCTGTACCCAAAGCTGTGTGACCTTGGGCAGCTGCCTCCCTGGGTACCCAGAACACCCAGCCCCCACCCAGCTGTGGCAGTGTCTGACTGAGCCTTTCCCATAGGCAGCCCGGCCCTCAGCCCAGCTGCCTGCAGTACCCAGAACCCATGATTTCCTCCTACTCTGCCTGACCCTCCTTCTGACTGATTAATGAAGAGGCACACTGGAAGACACCTGAGGTAGCCCAGGATTAGGTGCAGAGCGGCAGGCTCTAAAAGGGTCTGCGGCCTGTCTGAGTTGACCTCTCCTTGCCCCACTCCTCAGTGGCACATGCCAGTTACGCCACACAGCCACAGATAACCCAGCTCTCCCAAGAAAAGGAGGAATCATCATGCCCCTGGGCCTTTGCACAGACTCCAATCTTGACTCCAACCCCCTCCTCTGGTCACCCTCATCAGCATGGCAGAATTAAAGAGAAACTCGGGCAGGCGTTCAGAACACACTCACCTAGGAACCCAAAGAAGAGAGTCAAGGCACATTGTTACAGGGACATAACCAAATCTGGAGTTGCACATCCATAAGCCAGCCATGGACCAGCCCAACACCCCTCTACCACAAGGGGCCTCAGCTCCCACTGTTTCTCCGACCTCCCCACTGCTACCTCTGTCCTGCAGGAGAGATCCCAAATTCAGAGGCTGAGCTTCTTTCTGCCTCTGCAACACTCAGAACCCCCTGCTAACGCTGGCGATTCAGTAGCTCGGAGAGAAACACAAGATCCAGGCCCCCAGTTCTGTCCTTCAACTGCCTGGAGAGATGGGCTAAATGGTCTGGTGGCGACAAGTCTCATGCTCTGCCTCTGGGACATCCACATCTGGTCCTCCAGGGGTGTGTGTGTGTGCGCGTGTGCGTGTGTGCGCGTGTGTGCACGCGTGCGTGTGTGTGCATGTGTGTGTTGGGGACCTCCCTCTGTTGTCACTCCCAATTGCAGCCTGTTGCATGTGGTGTCAACAGTCTGAGCAGGCTGGGACATGGGTGGAGAGGCGAGCACCAGCAGGACATGGGATGTGCGGGGGCATAAGTGGAGGAGGTAGAGGGGGAGCTCCAGGGTCAGCACAGAATTCCCATTCGGCTGAAAACTCAAAATAAGCTGAAAACTTCAGCCAGCACCTGTCAGGTCCTTAAACACACTGGTCTCTCTCCCCTCCAATCAGAGCAACTGAAGAGCCAGACCTTTGCCTGGGGGCTATTGAGGGGTTGCTTCTGAAACTCCAAGGAATGAAGGTCAGGTTTGAGTCACACTGGGTTGGGAAAATGGATGGAGGTGGGAGGAGGGAGGGGAAAGCAGGAGCCGCAGCAGGGGAATCCGCCAAGCACCAACATCTCCCTTCTCCCTGCCTAAGCCCACCCTTAGTACTGCCCCAGTCCGTGTGTGTCCTGCCTGGTCATCGTCAGTGCCCCCTCCCTTGGATGCCGACTTTTTTTTCTTATTCTTCTGCAGTGGAGGTGCAGAGCTACAAGGAGAACGACCCAGAACCCAGTCTAGGCAGGGAAGGTCAAGGGGTGAGGTATCAGGTGTCTCCTGCGGGGGCAAGAGAGACGGACCCAGAAGAAAACAAAAACAAAAGGAGAAGGAGGCTGCCAGGGGGCTGCCAGGGGGTTGGACCCAGCTGGGGACTGTGAGGACATGGCGGGATCGGAGGGTGCGCTCACCTGGTCACTGTGCGCCGAGCGCGCGGGCTGTGCGCTCTTTCCAGGCCCAGGCGTGCCCCGATGCCAACCAGCACGAGTAGCGCGGCGACACCGCACACCGCGTAGACCGCAGTGTGGCTGCGCTCGCGGGCCGGATCGCGCGGGGCGGCAGTGTCACGGGCACGGGCGGGCGGCCGGCCAGTCTGCACCCAGGCTGGTGTGTCGTAGTTAGAACAGCGGCTCTGATCCAGGCGGCGCGGGCCGTCGTGGCAGCAGAAGCGGTAGCCGCACGTGCCGCAGCAGAAGCTGTAGACACCCGAGCTGCAGTTGAAGGGCGGGTCCCACTGGCCCATCACGTCGTAGTAGCCCCGGCAGCGGTCGCCTCCCTCCGGGGCGACGGTGCCGGACGCTGCGGGCTCCTGCGTCTCTGGAGCCCCAGCGCGGCCCGACGGCGACCCAGCCAGCAGCAGCGCCAGTCGGAATGCAAGCGGGAGCCCATGCAGGCGCCGGCCACCGCGCTGTCTCCGCGTCCCAGCGCGCTCCATGCAGCCCGCGCCTTCTGCTATTGCGCCCCGCTCATGGCTCGGCGCGCGGCCGCTCTGCCCGGCTCCCCCGCGCCCTCCGGGACAGATCGCCTCGTTGTCTGCGCTGGCTCCGGGCCGACGCCTCCTGCTACGTCCGCGGCTCCAGACACAAGTGAGCTTGGTGTGGAGTGCACGGAGCTGGACCTCCTCCGGTGGGCGCGCCCTCCTCCGGGGCTCACCTCGGACTGCTCACGGTGGAGTCAGGCGGCGGATGCTCGCCAGCGCAGTCCCCGGTTCCCCCTGGCCTCAGCGGGCGTCTGGAGCCAGGGTCTTTCGGGGACTGAGCCGGGCGGCGGGTCGCCGGACACCGCTGCCTTCCCGCCGCCCGCTCCGCGCTGCCCGCGCTCTGGCTCAGGCTCCGGCTCCGGCGCGGGCTCGGCGCGGGCTCGGGCGGGAGGGAGAGGGAGCAAGGGGAGGAGGGCGGGAGGGAGGCAGAACAGGGGGAGGAGCGCGGCCGCTGCGCGGGAAGGGAGGGGTTCTGTAGGGCCAAGCGCTTCAGGCGCACCCCACCAGGGACCCTCTCCAAAGCCTCACTCAAATTGTTGTCTGAATTGGACCCATGAGGGGGCTCAGCTTAAAGCTCTGCGGACTCGGATCCCGGCGGCCTTGGATGAGCGGTTGATTCCTTCTTTTTAAGTAAGGGGACAGAGTCATAGAGATCAAAGCAGCCTGGACCACGCCAGAAAGGTCGCTCCCGCCCTCTCCCTCTTCCCAACGTCCCAATGTTCTTTCACTCTGTGTTCTGATTGAGACATGGGTAAAGAGGGCATTTCCCCTTCTGCAATAAGGACCCCCAGCACAAAAATGGCAGAGCAGCAAGCCTGCATCAAGCCCTCGCCGGTCTGCCCTAGAGCATGCGCTCTGTTTCCAAAACCTGAACATTTGGCTGAGGTCCTGGGATATCCCAGTTCTGGGCACAGCCTAACCAGAGCCCACTTGGTTGGCCACCTCAAGACCACTGGAGGAAGTGGTCTGCCCCCCTCCCCAGCCTCTGTGCCTCAGAAGATTGGCCAGGCCCTGGGGACCAGGCCAGTTGCACTACCCTGTATGTCCTTGGTGTCTCACTTTTGGAACCCCCAGGTCTTTTCACAAGCAGAGGGAGAGAATGACAGGCCATGGCTCAGTGCCCCCCACCCTCCGGGTGAGTTTTTAAGGAAATGTGACCCTGACGCTGGGCCTTGCTCCTCCCTGCAGCAGTAGCTACTGTTAAAATCGAAAGGTTTTTCCGGTAGACTTGGGAGGCTAAGTGAAGACCACCTGGGCCCATAACTTTGAACAACCTGGGCTACAGAATGAGACCCTGTCTCAAAATGCAAACACAACACCCCTAAAGATGAAGCAGGAGAGTTGTTTGGAGCTGAATTGGTCTACCCGGTGAGTTCCAGTCTTTACTGGAAAACTCTGCCTCAAGGAAAGAAAGAAGGAACGAAGGCTAGCAATCTGGGTTCGGTGGTGCATACCTGTAGACATGCGTATTAGGAGTTCAAGATGAAGCTGTCTTTAATCCCAGCAGAGGCGAGGACAGCCTGATCTACAGAGCGAGTTCCAGGACAGTCATGGCTCTACAGAGAAACCCTATCTCGAAAAACCAACACTGCCCCCCCCAAAGGGAATTCAAGAGCAGCTTGGACCATATAAGACCCTATCTCAAAACCAAGCCAAACAAATAAAAAACACCGAAATAAATAAAAACCTTTTTCTGAAGGGCAGATTTATGATCGTCCTTCCCATTCCTTCTGGGAGGCAGAGATTAACAGGATACTTCTCGATGTCCAGACGGGGACACCAGGAGGACAAGGACTAGGTTTCCAATTCCCCCAGTGTCCCTCTGCTCCCAGCCCAGCTCGGGTGCCTGTCAATATTTGCCGAAGGAAAGCGCGAGATGATACGTGCTTCTAACTCCTGGCTGGTGCAGAATTTAGCCACTCTCGGGTCCTTTCCTCTCTCTTCTCCAACTCCCTCCTTTGGAGCCTGGAATCAGCTTATGAAATGGAGAGAGGAAGAGGAAGGATTTACAGCTTAAGGAGGATCGCGTCCTTCTTGTGTGTGAGACAGGGGCCGACAGGCTCTTAAAAGCGTTAAGGCTGAAGGAGGGCAACTCTCCCTTCATGTCTACCAGGCTGTCTCCGTTTACCCTGGCTAAAAACAGCCTGTCCCCTCCCCAAACACATACCCATGTGATCCCCAGCCAGTCCTGATGACCCCCGTCCCCATAAAGACTTTCTAATTTGTCATTTAGAAGGTGGGAGAGACGCGCTGGACAGGGACAGGGCATGCTTTAATCCCATCACCCGAGACAACCTGCCACCAAGCTGCTGGCACTTTGCCGCCTGTTTTGGGGCTGGCTTTTAGTTCGGGTTCTGTTGCTCAGTTCAGAACTCAGTTGTTCTTTCTGACCTTTCGTATTTCCTTCCCAGGCTTTCCTAGAGGTGGGGTAAGTGCCACCAACTGTGCTGTGTACATTAGGTTCACTAAAGCCAAGCTGACCTTGGGGCCACAGGGGCTCTGGGGGTGCTCTCCCTCCACTCCCATCTCTGAGCAGCACTTTAGAGCTGGGTTGTCTTCCGACGTCCAGAGTCTGTCCTTGCTGCCCTTTCTTACCGCTATTGTGCTGGTTGGCATCTGCTCAGCATCGACTTCATGCTGACCCCTCAGGACCTGTAGTGCAGAACGATCCCTTTGGGCCAGCAAAGAAACTGGATTCCAGTTCCTCATCCTACTCGGGGGCTGATGTGCAAACCTCACCCCATCTCCAGCCCTCTCCCCGTCTTAGCCTGAGTCTATGGATTCTGTGGTCGGTCAACAACCACAGGTGCCAACAATTACAGGGTTTGTGCCAAACATTCGATGCCTGTCTGTATGGACACGTGGCCTTGGAGTGAGGGGCAGGAAGAGAGAGACAAGACACAGCTGGTCTGTGTTCTGGGGTCTGGCTATCCATGCAGCTGACACCCCACCTCAGGTACATGGCCATGAGCTGGGCTAGGGGTTCTAAAGGTAATGCCATCCAGTGAAGGAGAGACCCTTTGACCCTGAACCCCAGGGTCTCTGCTCACAGCAAAGGTTCTGGGGCACCCATCCCCTGTCTCTTCTCCTCCCAAGCCTGTGTCACCAAAAAGTTGCCCATTGATCCAGGCTTAAAATAACCCCTGGCATCTGCAGTGAGCCCCGGGGGCGGGCGAGAGGAGCTGAGTGTCTGCCTGAAGGGCACCGCCCCTCCCCCAGCTCCCAGGGCTGGCAGCTGAGTGTGAGTGTGTGTGTGTGTGTGCAGGCGGAGTATGCTCCTGAATGTGAGTGAGAGAGCGAGCGAGTGTGTGTCAGGTGCAAGGGTGACTCTCAGGGCCTTCCCTGCACTACGGGTTTACACTGCCTGACTGGCTGTGGGAGCCTGAAATCCTATGGGCGTTAGCAAAAGCTTGTGTTGGGCCTCAGTGTCCCCATCTTAGACGTTAGGTGACCTGGCTCCACTCTGTACAGTTGTAGACAGGAAGGTTTGGAATTTACTAGACAGAAACCTAAGAACAGGAGAGGGGAAGTGACTTGCTGTGACTGGCACAGAGCCAAGGGGAGCCAGGGACTGGCCTGGAGCCATACTGCAAGTCCCAAGCCTGCCTTTGGCCAGCTCAGTACAGCAGCTAGAAGCCCCCACTGTCCCAGGGAGGCATTTCTCCCCCATGACCTGCTCATGGGCAGCCAGTGCAGAAGACCTCCCCCAAGTGGCTTTTCCTTCTTCCCTCCTCTCTAGAATGCCTTCTACTGCCCTTAGGATGATGCTCCCGCTCTGGGTGGACCCATCCGGCCGTCTAGGTCTGTTTTCTCATCAGCAAGATGGGCAGCTAGGAGGCAAAGAGCTACAGGGAGATGCTAAAAGCCCTGACTGGAAACACCTAGTATAGACAGCCACCTGGGAGTGCCCCTGCAGAAGAGAGTGACATCAGCTGTCACTTAAGTCAGAAGGCAACACCTGAGTTCTTCCATTTCCTCCTGAGGGTCTAGGGATGTTGGACTCCCCGCTAGAACAGATGATGGCACCAGGAGGGGGTCTGGAGGGAGGGCCTTGGGCTGCCTTTGTCTCCTGAGAGGCAGCTCGTGACTCAGGCTCCAGCTGCCTGTGGGAGGGAGGGGGCGACGAGGCTCCTGAGGTCTCAAGGGAGCAGCAGGATTGGGGGTGCGGGGCTGGGCGCTGAGACTCAGTCTGCCCGCCCCAGTATTTATGCTCTGTATCCTGGCCTCGGCCTTTCCCTGCCTGGGAGGCTCAGGTAACCCCCTTCCCTCTGCTTGCAAACACCACCCCCCACCGCCATTAGTGTCCTTCAGGAACCTCCAGAGGCCAGGGCTGGACGGGAATTAGACGGTGCGGCCACCGGTTCAGGAAAGTCCTTCTAGCCCAGGCTGCCCACGCCTGGGGGCAACTCCACTGAGTCAGCTCAGAAAGTGGGGTGTGGGGTATCCTGATCCCTATCATTCGCACACCAGCGCAGTCCTCTGAAGGCCCGTGGAGACACGGACCCCTCGTGAAGAGAGCTAGTAGGGCAGTGGGGGTGGGGTCTGTACTTAGCGGCAGAGAACTTGCCTGGTGAGCACCAGGGATTCCATCCTCAGCACCCACGAAAAGGAAAAACAAAAAAACCTAGCGTGGCAGCGAATACTACCATTTGTAAGGGGTTGACCAGATCAGGAGTTCAGGGTCATTCTCCGCCACAAAGAGAGTTCGAGCACAGCCTGGGGTCGAGTTAGAGACCGCTTCTCAAAACAAAACAAGAAACAGTGGCCTCCGACCCGACGCGCCCTTTATCAGTCTCCGCCCTTGACCTCACCCCTTGGATTTGCCTCTGGCCACACCTCTTTCCTGCAACCCTGCCACCTCCTCAGCCCCGCCTCTCCTTGGCCCTGCCCCAAGCCCCACCCCACCCCTCTATTCCGACCCTCTAGTCTCAGCTGGTGGTCTGGCGAAGATGTCACGAGCTGCGCAGAGCTGCGAGACACAGACCTGGAACCCAGATTCACTAAAGTTTAAGGATCCGTCCCGTCCCGCCCCTTCCCCTGGCTGAGTCTTGGGAGGACGGTAACGGCTTAGTGGTCTTCAGGAGACCTTTCTTTTGTTTCGTGTTTTAAAGACAAGGTCTCGTGAACTGGATAGTCCTGCATCCACCTCCCAAATGCTGGGATTACAGGATTACAGACGCGAGTCTCCATGCCCCATTTTATACCGTGCAGGGGTTGTAACTAAGAGCTTCAAGGATGCTAGGCAATCACTCCGTCAACCGAGCCACACCCCTACCCAGAAGCCCCAGTCTGAAGATAAAGAGGCAGACTTTGAGACATGCCGAACTTTCAAAGACGGGGCTGTCTGTCTCTGCTGACAAAGAGGAGGTGGGAGGGAGGATCAGCAGGCTTTCCTATCTGACTTCACTAGTGGGTCCCCACCTCCACCTTGAGCCCCAAGGCCCGGAGCTGCCAGGCAGGAAGTGAAAATGGCCTGCAGGAAACACCAAGGGGAACTGAGACTTCTGCCCTCTGCCCCCACCTGTTAGTCCCTGGGGACCTTGGGGAAACCAGACCCTCCAAAGGAAACCCCAGACAGAAGCAGGCTGGGGGGTGACCGGCTGCCTCCCTCTGTTCCCACTTCATCCAGCGTGCCTTCCAGAACCTACCTTGGGCCAAAGCTAATGCCAGAGACAAGTCTCTGAGTAGCAATGAAAATAAGAGGTGGGGGCCCGTCAGTGCCTGAGTCGGTGGCTCTCCAGGACCTAGCTTGGGTAGGTGACCCCCTGTTGGGTAGGCAGACCGGGTGAGGGCAGGTACCCCAATATAACTCAGCCCCAACACTGGTTGTGATTTGTATCTCGCAACCACATAGTCACATTTGTGGGTGTGAGGTCGTCGTTCCAGCTCTCAGGACGGTGGTCTCACCCAGAGGTCATTAGAGAGGTCAAGGCCATTGTCCCTGCAAGCAGAGGTTTCTTCAAGAGAAGGCGCTTGCTCTGTGCCTGTGATGCCAGCCGAGCCTGCAAAGGACCAGATGCTCACACGGAAAACTTGACAACTGTCGAAAAGCTCCATTGGGAGTGTTTAAAGCCAGAAACCTACCTGACGTGCCGATCAAGAAGGAACTTGAAGGAAAAAAGTGTGAGGGGGGGAGGGGGTCGGTGAACACTTGTGGAGGTCAGGGGGCAGCTTGTGGGAGTCAAGTCCCAGGATTAAACTCAGGTTGCCAGGCTTGGCAGTAAGCACCTTTACCGCACCTTTACCGGGTGAGCCATCTTGACCCACGATGGGAAACTTTCAAGACTGCAAGGACTGCAGTGGTGAGCATCACACACAGCACACAGAGAGGCTAGTGCTTTGGGCTGTGGACAGCACACAGCACACAGAGGCTAGTGCCTGGGCCGTGGACAGCTCATGGCACACAGAGAGGCTAGTGTCTGGGCCGTGGACAGCTCATGGCACACAGAGAGGCTAGTGTCTGGGCCGTGGACAGCTCATGGCACACAGAGAGGCTAGTGCCTGGGCCGTGGCTATGGTGGTGAGCATCACACACAGCACACAGAGGCTAAGTGCCTGGGCTGTGGCCAGCTCTCCTCAGCCTCCACTCTATCACAATGTGCTTTCCGACTCATATGAAAAACCTATATATCTTGATTCCCCACCCCCACCCCAGACAGGGTTGCTCTGTGTAGCCCTGGCTGTCCTGGAACTTGCTTTGTAGACCAGGCTGGCCTCAAGCACACAGAGATCTGCCTACCTGGCTTATTTTTAATAATTTTTTACAAAACTAATCACGGGTCCCTTCCTCCTCCCAGGTGTTGCTATGAAAGGCAAGCTCAGAATGGCTGGAATGACGCCTCAAATGACACCTTCGGCCACGGAAGGGTACTGATTCATTCCCTGGCAGTGCAGCCCTTGGGGGAGGGGACAGTGTCCCTGCTCCTTGTCCCCCTCCTCTTGCTTTTCCTGGCTTCCCCAAAGAGCTTCCTTCTTGTTTGATTATGATGACGATGGCAAGTCCTCTCCCTACGTAGGCCTCGCTTTCCTCATCTGTGAAATGGGGGTGTGTGAGACTTCTCTCAGCTTCCTTCAGCCCTTCTCCTTTAGGGGCCAGAGTCCAGGAAGGGAACTTTGTATCCATCCTGATTTTCTTCCAAAGAAACAGGTTGAGGGGAAACTGTGTGCCAGGCAGAGGCTTAGCTGGGAGGAAGAGGTACCAAAGGTTTGCGTGCCATGGCCCCACAAGGGTTTCACGTCTTTTCTCCTCCAGAGCCTAGATCCTGGCTGTTGTGACAGGTGGCCAGGGACAGCTCAGACAGCAGAGAGGGGCGTCTGGGAAATTAACGTTCAGGTCCTGGACGCTCTAAGTGTCCCTTGATACTGTTTTCTAAACTAGGGAGTGGGCAGGAGGGGTTAGGGCTGACGGGCAGGTATGGTGAGCTCAGAGACCAGCAGGTGGGGACAGAACTCAGCCAAAACCCTACAGCGGGACTCCATTTCTGACTCCCAGGCCAGTTTTCCTTCCAAACAGAGGCTCAGTGGTGACAAGTTCCAATAAGTTATGAGATCAGCTTCACCAGGAGGAGGGCAGGCAGGAGACATGATGGCTCCCGGTGAACAACATGCCCAAGACTGGTTTCTTCAGCAAAGAGCACACTGTCAGGGAACAGCTTCTACAGGGGTGATATTGAGCCTGGGGCCAGCACAAGCTTGGCTAAGAAGGCCCAGATCAAGGGGAGAACAGTCCACAGGGGGAACACAAAAGGACCTCAGTTCAGCCTGCCCTGGCCTCGCTATGAAGGATTGTCCTATTGGCCGGCCACTGCTCTGTGCACTACTGCAGAGTGGGCCGTGCCCCAGGGGACACTGGGCCCCAGGTGCTCTCTGGGGGGAGAATACCACCATGGCGTCCCTTCAGCTTGAGTTTAGACTCCAGCCTGAGACTACGGACTTCTTCCCGTGACTCTAGAAACTGCCCTCGCGGTAAGATGGCATCTTCTGTCCTGGCAGACGGTGTCAAAGAAATCCACAATTTCTGAATTATTCCTGACTTACTGGCACCTGAGACTCAGCACAGCACAGCCCAATCATCTCCCCGACACTCAGGTTATTTCCAAAACTTGATCTTACAGTTGGGGTTTAGCTCAGTGTAACTACTTGTTTAGCGTGGGTCTGGTCCCCAAGGCTATGGACAATAAAATTACAGAGCATCTTGCATTAAATACCAGAGTCAAACCATCAGCTCGTTGCTGTCACTTGCATCAGCATTGAAGCAGGACAGTTCTGAAAGCAAGAATTAAAGAAACACGGCACCCACGACAGACAAAGCGTCTCCCCACTAGCTTTTATTCAGATTAATTTTGCCATAACGGCACCTTTCCCTGCAAAAAGGAAAATCTCTCTCACGGTGCCTGTGTTAATCTGTTTTATAATACTGCAACAAAACACCTAAGGTTAAATAACTTTACAAAGAAATAAGGCTGACTTAGCTTACAGTTCTGAAGGTTCAAGGGCCACATCTGATGATAGCCTTCTCCCTGGTAGAGCCCAGAGTTAGCACAGTACATCACGTGGCCAGAAACAGAGACTGCTCCTTGTTGATCGCTCTGTCCTGATGACTCTACCTGACCTTCCAAGCATACCACTTCTAAACACCAGAATGAGATTAATTTTCTAATAATAATAATGAAAGAAAAAAATCAAAATTTAAAAAAGATTTTATTAACTATTATTTTGAGACTTGGCCTCACTATACAGCTCTGGTTAGCCTAAAATTTGCTCTGTAGACCAAGCTGGTCTCCAACTCACAGACATCTGCCTGCCTCTGCCTCCCCAGCGCTGGGATTAAAGTTGTGTGCCGCCATGCCCAGCTTATATTTTATAATTTGTAAGTGTGTGTGTGTAAGGTGTGCATGTGAGTGAAGATGTCCGTGGGATCCAGAGGCAGCAGATCCCCTAAAGCATGAGTTCAAGTCAGTACTGACTCATCTGAAGTGCATGCTGGGAATCAAAACTCTGGTCCTAGCCGGGCAATGGTGGAGCACGCCTTTAATCCCAGCACTCGGGAGGCAGAGGCAGGTGGATCTCTGTGAGTTCGAGACCAGCCTGGTCTACAGAGCTAGTCTCGAAAAACCAAAAAAATAAAAAAAAAAAAAAATTCTGGTCCTCTGGGAAAGCCGTCAGTACTCTTAACCACTGATCCATCTTTCCAGCCCCTATTTTTAACACTTTAATTGTGTGTGCATGTGTGTGTGTGTGTGTGTGTGTGTGTGTGTGTGTGTGTGTGTGTGTGCAAGCAAATGAGGGCTGGTACCTTTGGAGGCAAGAGGCTTTGGTCCCAGGTGGTTGTGAGCTGCAGACATGGACACAGGGAAACTGGGCAACCGCAGTCCTCTGCAGGAACAGAACATGGACTCCTCTGCTGAGCCATTTCTTCAGTCCACCACCCAAATTTTGTAGAAAGAGATTGAGTGTCCAGTCTCTAACTCTTCAAAGAGATTATTATCCAACACTCAAGCCTGCCCAGCCGTTTAAGGCATAAGAGTTTAAACACAGTCTCAAAAATAGAATGTTCTTGAGCCAAAGACTAACACAAAATCAGTCCGGTGCTGGTGGGAGAGCCTGTGGCCTGTAGTGTCTGTGGTTCTGCCGGGTACCCTCCGGGCAATGGGCTCCGTCCCTGAAGGGCTGAACTCCTTTTCCAAGGCCTGGGGGGAGGGGGGGGGTGGAGAGTCCACAAAGCCAGTAGGGCTCCCTCGGTTCCCTCCACAGCTGCTATTCCTCAGGGCCGGCTGTCTTGGTGGTCACCAGCTCAGTGGAGCCCAGTTCTGTGGCGGGCACTGGGATGCTGTGGCTTGGCAGGGTGGCGTCGGCGTCTTCTTTGGGGGTAGGCCAGATGGGAGCGGAGGCAGGGGGGGTTTCTGAGGAGGACACGAAGACATTGTCCAGGGACTCTGGGGTAGGTGAGGGACCGGGTAAGGCAGGTCAGGATTGAATCACAGCCTCCCTGTGACGCCTGTTCTAGAAGCCTCCTGGGGAACAGCCCTCAGTGGAGGAAGTGGGGCAGCACATGACAAGTCTTCAGGACAGGAAGTGCTGAGTCCAGAGACATGTAAGCTGAGGTGGGGGACACTGACATGGGGGAGACGGGTGTCTGGGCAGTCTGCTGGGCATAACCTAGGACCAGGCCACTCGGACTCCCAAAGGGAAAGGCACTTTCATCCCCAGATATCTCTTCCTGGGCACTGAATCTCCTTGCTTGGATTAAGGCTTGGCCTGTGCTCTCCTCCCTGCGCACCTGACAGCCTCAGCCCTGCCCCCCCAGGCCCCCCCCCCCCCCCCCCCCGCAATCCTGGGTCCGGTTCCAGACATCCCCTATAATAGGAGTTGTATCCCCCACCCCAGCCGCCGTTGTGCTTCCCCAGACATGGTTCTCACCTTCCTGGACTCCGTCTGGGGTGTCAGGGGAGGCCATCCTGCTCTGCCGCCACCACCTCCAGATCACCAGGGCCACCAGGACCAGCACCAGCACCAGTCCCAGGAGCGCGGGGGCTCCGAAGAGCAGCCCGGGCAGCGGCAGCGTCGCGTCCGGCCCTGGTCCCGTGCCCACTGACTCCTGCGGCTGCAGCGCTGTCCCGGGCGCTGATGGTGAAGGGGATGCAGACGGAGGGCGGAGGACCGAGGGGCCGAAGGCTGGGCGGAGGAGGGACAGAGAGGGAGACGGGCGGTGAGGGCCATGAGGGACCGCTGGCCCCAGGATCAGCTGAGGGGCACGTGGCGCTGCCGGGCTGGGGACCTTAGGGCAGATCCCGCCTGTCCCCCTGAGCTGTCTTACCGTGCCGAGGAGGGTCCGGTGTGCGGAGGAGGTTACATTCCAAGCAGCGTCGCACCAGAGGGTCGAAGCACAGTGCCTGAATGCATGGCGTGGGCATGGGGCTGTCCCGGCTTCTCCGGCTTCTGGTCCCGCGCTTCCGGGCGCCCATGTCGCCACCGCTTGCAGGTGGGACAGAGGTCTGAGTCTGAACTCTGTGCCCCTCTAGTCTAGAATGAAACCCAGACGGAGCAGCAGCATCCTCCGCCCCGCCCTTGCCTACTGGGGTGGGACCACTGGGGTGGAGCTGCAACCTCGCCTGAACCCGAGACCTCTTTCACCTGTGGTTCCTGTATTAAACCACTCAACTGTCACCGCAGACGACAGCTGAGCATTGCTAGCGCTGGGGGGTCAAACAAGAGGCTGCTCTTGGACCGCAGAGGGGATGGGACCCAACAGTCACCTACCTTCCTCAGTCTCCTGCCGCCTCTGCTGTAGCTCACCGAGGCCATCTGCCCCTAGTCCCTCCTGCTTCCTGCTCTGCCCATCCCAGGGTCAAGACATCAAATGCCCACAGTGGTGACTGAGAGACACAGACATCCTAAAAGACTTCCCAGTCTCGCCATCCACTAGTCCCTATCCTTGTCCTTTGCCCAGTCCTGCCTCCCTGATCCCTTTGTCCCCTTTGAGAGTAGTGGGGACAGGCAGCTAGTTATCCTGAATTCCGTGGGAATGGGTAGGTATGGGGCCTGCCTGAGGGCCACCAGCACAGCTCACCACCAAAAAATGACAAGAAAACTTGAGAAAATGACACGGTGTTGGTAGAGAGGAGACGTCTAGGGGCCAGTGGTGGGGTGGAGTATGAGCAAAACCCTGGTGGCACAAATGGGAAGGCCAAGGAGTACTGGGACTTGGGGAGTGGCGGTGTGTGTGTGTGTGTGTGTGTGTGTGTGTGTGTGTGTGTGTGTGTGTAGAACAACAGGAATCTCGGATTCTGGCAGCAGGGTGCTGGGGAGCTTCGCAGGTTTGAAGGCAGAGCCTGGGTAGGATCTGCAGATTAGTAAGGGAACTGATTCCCTACGGTTCCTTTTCCAGAGCTGCGACCCTGCTTGGTCGTGCCTTTGCCTTGTCCATGCGGCCGCTGTATCAGGCTCTGGTTTTGGTCTCCTGCTTGTACCTCATCAGCATCGCTCAAACCCTGTCAGTCACGCAAACAAGCTCTCTGGGTCTTGGGACACATGCAGTCCCCTCCTCAGAGGTCATGGGCTGAGCAGTGCCTGAGGGAGCTCCCAGCTAGAAGCTCGGGCCTGTAGTCCCTTGGTGTGCCTCATGGTGGGTCGTACAGAAGACCTCTTAGGCTAGGGGCCGAGGGATATCTCCAGCAGCTTCAAGGGGCAGGGAAACGTGCCCTCCAGGAAATGGCATGGGGGAAGGCCTGCGAAGGCGAAGGGCTGCACAAACTGGGGGACGGACATGGCAACTGCTGTGGGGTGCTGGGAGAAAGGAAAGCACCCTTGTGACAGCTGGACGGGGGCTCAGCTGGAGAACGAGGCCTGGCAATGGGGGCCTGGATTCAGAAGGGCCCTTTGGCTGCATCCAGAGACTGGCTGGGGAGGCAAGGAGGCTGGATGGAGGGCAAGGGATGGTGCAGAGCTGGTCATGGAGTAAGGGAATCAACGCTGCTACAGGTGATTCTGAGGATCCACATAGAACCCTCATCAGTTAGCCTGGAGTGGCGGGGGGGGGGGTTCTGGCCCATTGCCTCTCCATCCCCTTGCCTATGGGCCAGCAACTCCACCGCAGGAAGGTGTAGGCGGCAGGGTGGCTGCAAAGGAGAAGTGGGTCTGGGGAGGTGGGTGTGGGTGTGAGTGTGGGTGTATAGGGAGGTGGGGGCAGGGAGGAGCATGGAGCCAGGGCAAGGACAGTCTGTCTTACTGGAGAGAGGCAGGAAGGTTAAGACCAGAAAGCTTGACTGCAACCCTCTGCCCGCACCCCCCTCTACAGGACTACATGGAGTCCTGCCTATGCATTAGGCATCTTAGCTATTGGGTCAAACACTGGAGCTGAAGAGCTGAGGCTCATGGGAACCCATGGCCAGGAATCCAGTCCTGGGAGAGAGGGCAGCCAGTAGGGCCTGGGTTGGGAAATGTCCCATGGGCTACACCAAGGAAGCCAGCCTGCAAGGAGATGCTACCTCACGACAGGAAGAGGATCGATGGCCAGCTGCTCTGCTCCTGCTGGAGACCGAGGTCACCTCAGGGTATGAAGCAAGAGGCCTGTAACTCCCGGTCACAATGACAAAGCCCTTCACTTCAGAGAGGGACGCTTGAAGTCTGGAAGACAGAAGCAAAATTACTCATTTGACACAAATGTTTATTGGACTTCCTACGGGCCCCACCGAGACAGGAGCGAGACTAAGCCAGTGACAGCAAAAGGCCTGTGGGATTCACGTCTGTGGCGTGTACAGGTGTCTGACCTCAGCCAGATATTTTCACTTGCGCCTCTGTGGGGGCGGGGGTGGAGGCTGTGGTAGTCCTTGAATCTCCGCTTGAACAATTTCATGGTTAAGAGGAGAGATTTGGGGACTAATGACGTAACTGAGCTGTAGAATGGTCGCCTGGCAAGCACGAAGCAGCTCTGGGTTCCACCCTGAACGGCAGATATTGGGCATAATGGGATACACATAATGGAATACCCTTGTAATCTCAGGGTAGCACTAGGGAGTCGGAGGCAAAAGAGGCTCAGGTCAAGGTTATGCTTGAGCTTCATAGTAGATCTGAGGAGTCCATTCTAGGCTACACAAGGCCCAGCAAATGGAGAGCTAGACCAAGAGGGGGAGAGAGAGCAAGCTCAGTGACACAGGGAATGTTAGGGTACACTTTAACATTGTTTTTTCATAGCTACTAACTCATTTATTTATTTTTATTTGTGATACAGGTTTCTCCTTGCAGCCCTAGCTGATCTGAAACTAACTCTGTAGACCAGGCTGACCTCGAACTCAAGAGATTCACCTGCTTCTGCCTCCCAGGTGCTAGGATGGGATTAAAGGTGTGCATCACCACCGCCTGGTGTTTGCTATTTAATACTTATTTTAGGTGTGTGTATCTAAGTGTATGTCTGTGCACTATGTGTGTGCAAGAACCCTCAGAGACCAGCAAAGGGCTTAAGAGTTACAGGCAGATGTGAGCCATCACATGGGTGCTGGGAACTACTGAACCTGGGTCCTCTCCCTCTAGAACAGGTGCTCTTGACCCCTGAGCCACCTCTCCAGCCCCGAAATCACTAACTTCTCAATTCCTTCTGTGTAACGTTTCTAGCTACTGTAAAGGAGCTAACCTGGGAAGCAGCAGAGGACAGCTGCAGAGGTGGTGGTGGGCTTCTGGGACTTCTCTGGGCTAGCACACCCCCAGTGCCACCTTCTCAAGCAAGAAGCTCTTCTGTGTCGTTCTTGGCTATGAGATGATCAAGAAGTTAGTTTCCAAATTCACTGTAGTGTTTACACATTTTCCTTTTAACAGATTTTTGCTTTTCAGGTTTTTTTAAATTTTATTTATAAATCTGTTTATGACAAACAGGATCTTGCCATGTTGCCCAGGCTGACCTCAAACTTCAGGGCTCAAGGAGGTTTCCTGCTTCTGCCTCCTGAGTAGCTGGGCCTAAAGACACATCTCATCAGCCCAACCTCCTAACTCTTAAACAACAAAAAACAATTTTTACTTTAAGCAATCTGTTATGACTTGAATGCATTTTTATTTTGCCCCAGGGCTGAGTGAGGCAGGAGGTGGGGTGGGGCAGGAGGATCAGGAGTTCAAGGCAAGACTGGTTTACACAAGACTAAAAATAAATCCCCAATTTTTTTGATTTTATTAGTTGTGTGTATGATGTCTTAAGTCAGGGTTTCTATTGCTGTGAAGAGACACCATAACCACAGCAATTCTTATAAAGGTAAACATTTCATCGGGTGGCTCACACTTTCAGGGGTTCAGTCTACTATCATCAGGGCAGGGCACGGCAGCATACATGCAGACATGGTGCTGGAGGACGGGATGAGAGTGGACAAGGAGCTACATCTTGATTCCACAGGCAACAGGAAGTAGTCTGAGACACTGGGAGTGGCTTGAGCATATGAGGTCTCAAAGCCCACCCCAGTGACATTCTTCCTCCTTCAAGGCCACACCTCTTAATGGTGTCACTCCTTCTGGGAGTCATTTTCTTTCAAACCACCACAGTGCATGAGTGGAGGCACATACATGCCACAGTGATGTCTGAGGATATCTCAGGAGTCAGGTTCACGAAGCCAGCACCCCGTGCCAGCCTGTGTGTGTGTGTGTGTGTGTGTGTGTGTGTGTGTGTGTGTGTGTGTGTATGGATATATTCTCGACTATAAAATGAGGGACTTTGTGGCTGAAACTCCTTCAAGTTTTTGTCTTCCTGATCCCAACCTTTTCATTTGCTAAATGCTGGCTTCAAACTCCCCGTGTAGCTAAGGATGACCTTGAACCCCTAGGGTTGAGTAGACTACCAGGCCCACATCAGGTGCCTCTGAGAGATCTGCCTGCTTCTCTGCCCCTCCTGAGGGCAGGATTAAAGTTCCTGACACCATGCCCAACCGCTCTTTAAAAAAATAAAAAAGGTGATTCATTTGGGGGTGGAGTTCGGTGAGGAATTCTTGCTCTGAAAATTTCCCCAAACAGCACGAGGTGAAGTCAGGGGAAGGAGGCTCTCAGAGGATGAGCCAGCGGGAATGAAGGCCAGGATGGAGTCTGCACCCACCTGAGTGTGAAGTATGGCCCAAGTTCTTCATGCTTCAGAGATGGTCAGGGAAGTAAGCCCACTGTATCTATGGGGCAAGCCCAGTGTGATGGGGGTGGGGGAGGCAGCCCCTGGGGACAAAGAGGCCCAGCCCCTCCCCCAACTGGATGTGAAACTGTTCTGAGACCTGGGATATTCTCAAACATCAATGTTAGTTTTAGCTGTAATCAGGCCAGGGTACCCAGGCTCACTGCTCTCAGCCTCAGGTCCACACAGGCAAAGGGTTTTTTTTTTTTTTTTTTTTTTTTGTTCTTTCGAAACATGAGTCATAACATGGATTGTCTTGGGGCCTTCCCAGTCACCCTGAGTTGGCTCGGGAACTTCATGTCCACCCTCTCAGCTCCACCCCATTTTCTCAGTGTCTGTCTCAAAGTAGAGGCTCCCTTGCCCCCTCACCCCTTGAGACACTGTTGGAAAGTTCCCTGCGGTGGGGACAGGGGAAAGGACAATGCCAGGTTTTCTGTTCACTGAAGAGGGGTGGGAATGGGGGGGATCATTAGAGTCTGCAGGCCTGAGAAACCGGGGTCGCAGGCAGAACAGTGGTCAGGGTGGTCCCTATCCTCTCTCCTGGGAACCCAAGCCTATCAACGGCAGGCCACTCACTTCACAGCCCAGGCTACAGCCCAGCCCTCTCCTTACACACCCACTGTGCACACACACTTGCACACTGTCACGACAGGGCTCTTTAATCCCAGCACTCGGGAGGCAGAGGCAGGTGGATCTCTGTGAGTTCGAGGCCAGCCTGGTCTACAAAAGCTAGTTCCAGGACAGGCTCCAAAGCTACAGAGAAACCCTGTCTTGAGAAAAAAAAATGGCCTTGGTGTGGCCCAGGGCCTTCAGTGTGAGATAAGAAACCACCGATCTTCAGATTCTTGGCTGCAGGAGTAAAGTCCTGTCCGGAGGCCAGCGGGTAGTTGTGCCTGGGACAGTGAGGCCATGAGGTGGAGGAAGAATGGGAGTGTCTCCGGGCCTCCTGCCGGCCCTACGCAGGGCTGTCTCACCATCCAGCAAGTGCTGACACCTTACTGGGCTCCACCAAGTTCAGGAGCAGCGACAGGCAGCCAGAGCCAAACTCCAGCAAGGAACCAGTCTAGTAGGTGAAGAATGAGAAGGGCTTGGAGAAAAACCTCAAGGAGGACATCAGGGAACGAGGGGTATGCTTGTCTTTAGGTTCTGTGAGAGACCCTGACTCGGAAATAGTGTGGAGAATGGCCGAGGAAGCCATCTGGAAGACACCCACCTCCACGCTGGCAAGCACAGCATATGCCGGGCACCTGCAGGCACACACATACCTGCGGAGGAAGGGGCAGGGCCGCCGAGGACCAAGCTTTTGTTTCCAGCCACGAGAACCCCAAGGGGCAGAGCTGTGGGGCTCAGAACAGGAAAGCAAGCTGACCCACGTCACAGGACCCGGTGGTGAGACTCTCGGGCCTGGTCCTTTCCCACTTCACTACTTCCTCCGTGGCCACGCAGCCCAGGCCTCTGTTCTTGGGGGCGGGGTGAAGTGTTTTGTTTTGCTTTATTTTTATAAATGACATTGAGGAGGCATACACACACACACACACACACACACACACACACACACGGAGGTCAAGGGACAACTCGCAGGACTGTTCTGGAGATGAAATTCAGGTCATCAGGGTTGGCAGCAAATCTCCCCAGCTGAGCCATCCTGCCTCGCTGGCCCTGGTTCGTTTTAGATGGGGTCTAGCGTAGCCCAGACTGACCCCAAATGCACTGTGTAGCTAAAGATGACCTTGAACTTGGTTTGAACCGTAGTGCCTGCAGGCGGCGCTACGGACTGACCCGTGGCTTCAGGGAGGATAGGCAAACACTACCTACTGAACCCCACCCCACCCCTTATAAAACATAGGAATATCGTGTGAGGACAGAGGACAAGTTATAATGTACACTCTCCTGCTTTTACATGGAAGTTAAGCTCACACGACAAACGCTTTTACCCCACAGACCACCCCCATCTGCTTCCCCCTTGCATGGACTGGGTTGTAGCCCAGGCTGGCCGGAAAAAACACTGCTCTTCCCACCTCTGCTGGCTACAAAAGTGAGCCACACCCAGCTGGGTGGAGGATCCCGGTGCCATTCTGCAGTTTCCTTTCCTCTGTAGGAATGGCTGGCCACCACTACTTTGGCAGGGAAGTACCATGGGACCTGCTGCCACACTCGGGTCAGCACCCTCCTGCAGAGAGCTGAGCTTCCAGGAGGGGTGTAAGAACGGCCCAGACCAGGTAACCTGTGATGCAAAGCAAGCTCTCCCTAAGGATCTCAGTCCTGATTCAGGTCGCAAGCATCTGACAGCTTCCAGATTCGACCGAGCCTTTGAGTCGCCCAAGCACTCCACCTCAGCACCAAGCCTGGTCCCCATGCCCTCAGTCAGACCCACTGCCAGGAGCAGCCGCTCCCTGCTGGCTTCGGTAAGGTAAGCGAGGGCACCTGACTGCCATTAAAGTGTCACTCAGCCCTGCTGTGCAGCAGGGGCAGGCCAGCCCAAACCCCAGAGAGGCGCCTCTAGTTCCAGGGTCCCTGCCAAGCTTGGCAGGGATCTGGCAGCAGTGACAGCCTCAAGCTCCCCCGGCACTTGGAAGGCTCCCAGGCTCACTGGAGAATGTGTTGCCACTTCTCTTGTTAAATGGCACCAGGTGGCAAAGGAAATGTGGCACAGAGACCCGAGGGAGGGAGAGATGTGCACATCGAGGCGAAGCAGGGGACACAAACAGGAGGCGCGCCCCTGCTGCCTTCCTCTCTAGCTCAGGTGCCTCACTCTCCCACCCCACTCAGGGTCCAGGGCACTAAAGGGTCTGGGAACATCGCCCTGAAGACTGCTGCTTTCTCAGGCCCTCCCAGGGGAGGTGCCACGCTTTTGTTGAGTCACACAGAACCGGGGACAACACAGGCAGGCCTGCCATCCATTGGCTATGATTATGGACACGCCTTCAGTGAAGTCTGTCTCAGGAACCCTGACACAGGGAACCAGCAACCCTGAGGCATGCTGGGAGGTCCACAGGAGCTGCTGCCCTGTGAGCAGAACGCTGTGAAGGGAAGCGTGAAGGGTTCTGCAAGCGTCACATGACACGCGTGGCCTCACAGGGTTCTATAGAGCTAATCCTCCCCCCCCCCCCACTGGGACCCAGGGGCCATCAAGTCAGAAGAAATCTATGTCTAGCCAGGTCAGGTGGTTCCCACCTTTAATCCCAGCACTGGGTAGGCAGGTGTTCTGAGTTCAAGGCCAGCCTGGTCTACAGAGTGAGTTTACTACACACAAAAACCGTGTCTCAAAAACAAAAGCCCCAAGGTACAAAAAACCCAACAATAACAAAAAAAAAACAGAGAAGTATGTCTAACTCTTCATTCTAGGGGCAGGCCTTTGTGCTGTTCTGAAGGTAGCTACAGGCCCTGTGACATCCAAGCAGAGGCTGTCCCTGCCACTATTGATGGAAGCCTTCTGTGCTCAACAGACCTCCCCCCAGACCCCCATGAGCTAAGCCCACTCCTGTAGCACTGGGAATCTTGGCTAACAGAACTTCCCCAGTCCAACCTGGCCCTTGCACGGGCCTCTTGCTTCTCACACTGACCTTGCTAGTGTCACGTCTGCCTGCTATAAGATAGCTTTAAGAACCAGCTCGGTCTGGTTTTACATGACTGTTTGCTGAATGCCTTGTTGCTGCTGTGCAGGGCATGCCGATCTGCCAGACAAACAGACAAGTTGCAGGAGTAACGCAGTCGCAGGCAGCACACCACCTACCATGTCATTTAATCCCCTCAACGTGACACGAGAACCAACCATATCATTCACACCAGGAAACAGTTCCCAGGAGCAACGGCTGGGGTATAAGAAGCAGGGCCAGCACGTGACACTTCTCTGGGATCCTGGAAGCCACACTCTCTCCTTAATTGCACTGAGTCAGTTTCCTCATTTACAAAGTCAAATGGTGGATGAGACAGATTTTCAGTTTTTTTTTTTTTTTTTTTTTTTTTTTAAGTCATGGCTCTTTGTTCCAAAGAAATCTTCAGTGGATGCAGCCCACCAGACAGGTGAAGATATGGGCCTCTGTGGGGTGAGTTGGGAGGCATGGGATTCCAACCACGGGGCTCCCTTCCCCATTCCTGCCCAGCACTGCACTGCCTGGTGGAACAGAGCTCACTCAGCCTTGCAGTGAGCAGGATGCCTCCTGGGCCTGCCAGGCCCTGACTGGTCTTCACCAACAGTGATTGCTTATGGAGCTAGAGCCAAATGCGGGGAGGGCAGCAGTGCTCACGACTCCTTGGACGGGGGGCTGTCGGAGCTCCTCAGCAAAGACAGCAGGTTCAGCGCTGAGACACCAGGCACGTGGCCAGCACAGATCTGCAGCATGCGTACCAGGCGCTGGGCCATGGTGGCTCGAAAGCTCTCCACCTTCAGGGAAGAGCAAAGAACAGCAGTGAGGGGGTGGCTGGCCAAGGCAAAGCTGGGGGGTGAGATGCAGGGGTATCCCATGATTGTGCCATACCCAACCAGGTAGCTTTTAAAACCTAGAGACACCCAGAGACTGTGAGTCCCGATCAAGAGGAAATAGGGGATTGACAAGACTGGTTGGCGGTGGTGGCGCACGCCTTTAATCCCAGCACTCAGGACGCAGAGGCAGGCAGATCTCTGAGTTTGAGGCCAGCCTGGTCTACAGAGTGAGTTTCAGGATGGCCAGGGTTACAAAGAGAAACCCTGTCTTGACAAATCAACCAAGCAAACAAACAAAAAACCTGATAAGGTCAAATACAGTCCAGGGTCACAGAGGTGTGACTGCAGAGCTGGGACCTCAACCATGGCTAGTCCCAGGCACCCCAGGAAGACACAGGGACAATAGGGAGGATGGACAGAGTGGCCCTCGACACAGATAAGAGTGTGTGGCTCATGCCACGTGTCCTTTATTGGGCCCAGGGAAGCCGGGGGTTGTGCAGCTGTCCTGACAGAGTGAGTTCTGGGCAAGTAAGAAGTGCTTACAAGCATTTGCCTTGCGAACAGCAAGTGCTCCAGCAAGTGGCCTCGGGCACTGTGGTCGGCACTGACTGCTCCCACAACTGTGCTCATCTCTAGAGGCAGCACATCCTACCGGCCATGCCGGAAGCCTCAGTTGTCCGACTCGTCTTCCTGTCACCTCACACCTGGCCACTAGCACATTCTGTTGACTGTCCAGGAAACAGCAAGGACTATGGACCATCCCACGTCACTCTTCCTGGACATCACTGAACCCAGGCCACTCAACCCTTCCAGAAAAATCTCTAAACTCAGTCCTCATTTATGCCACACTAACAGAGTCAGAGCAGAACCACCCCCCACCCCCCCACCCCCCCCCCCCCACCACCCCCCCCCCCCCCCCCCCCCCCCCCAACCACCGGACCGCAAGCTACCAGCAACCCCAGCTGTATGTGGAGTAAAAGCCACAGCCTTTACTGACTTGATGACCCCATCACTATTGACACTTCCCACTGCTCTGCCCTCCCAGTGTTCGGCTACAGACACGCGCTCTCCCCTTCAGTACCCACACAGCTACACCTCAAGCTCCCACCCCTCACACCCCAGTCATATTCTCATTCTCTCTCTCCAGACAGGGTTTCTCTGTGTAGCCTTGGCTGTCATAGAACTTTATCTGTAGACCAGGCTGGCCTCAAACTCACAGAGATCCGCCTGCCTCTGCCTCTGTAGTGCTGGAACTAAGGGTGTGCAGAACCACCGCCCGGCTCCAGCCATTCTTTTTAACACAGCAAACAAACAAGCAGAGTGGCCTGCGCGTGCTCCTGACTAGCACACAGCCAGGGTCTCTATATAAATTTCACCATTTTGTTCTGTGCGGTGTCTCCAATGCCAGCAACGGTGCTGGGCACACTGTGTATATGCGAGAGGTATTTTGAATCCCCCTCCTCGAAGGTCTCTATCTCCAATCTACAGCTGCTCTAGTCTGAGTGCCACAGATGTCTCTTGCCACTCAAGCCCCACACGGAGATACCCCCAACACCATTCTGATCGCAGTTATGACGGCCCACACCCACGGGAAGACACGCTCTGCCGGGCTGCCAAGCACCTCCCTAATGTCTGAAAAGACAGGCTGGTGTTTGCTTTGTGTCCCCAAGCACTAGCACAGGCCCTGAGGTAGACAGTGCCTCTGGGCGAGCCACACCCCTCCTAGCACTTCTCAAGCCCCTAGTGCTGCAACCCTTTAGTACAGCCCTCATGCTGCAGTGACCCCAACCATAAAATTATTTTGTTGCTACTTCATAACTCTAATTTTGACGCTTTAGGAATCGAAGCAAATATCTGATATGCAGGATATCAGATATGTGACCCCAAAGGGGTCTCGACCCACAGGTTGAGAAGTATCGTCCAAGTGTTTCCCAGTCTAAAAGAGAGCTAGCAACTCTCCATCACACAAAGATGTCCAAATATATTGAGGTTCCAACTTGAGAAGACAGTAGGTATGCTCTGAAAAGGACAACCCAGACACGTGGGCCCCCCAAGGCACATGTTCTGGGCAGGTATCTGTGGCCTTGCTGCCAGCTGAAGACGAGACTGCAGCTTTTGCTTTCCTCTCCACAGCTGGCCCCGTGACTTTCCTTCAAAACCACATTTAGACAGAGAATGTGTGTACGTGTACACCCACGCATGAAGGTCAGAGGTCAATTTGCAAGGAATCCATTCTCTCCTTACCTGTGGGGGCCCAAGGACAGAACTCAGGCTGAGAGCAGTGCCTTCACCCGCTGAACCCCATTGCTGTCCTAGTCTAGGCTTCCAGTGCCGTGAAAACTCAAAAACTGGTGTGGCCTGCCACCACATGGCCACATGCAGAACAGCAAGAGCACCTGTCACAGGGTCAGCAGGCATCACAACCACCACCTGCACCTGGGTTACAAAAGTCGTCCCGTTCCTCTCCACACCCCCCACACCACCAATTTTCAAAGACAGGGTTTCTTTGTAGCTTTGGAGCCTGTTCTGGAACTCACTCTGTAGAACTCAGAGAGATCCACCTGCCTCTGTTTCCTGAGTGCTGGGATTAAAGGTGTGCGCCACCACCGCCAGACTGGTAAAGATGATTCTTCAGTAAGCGATCATAAAACTACCGAGAAACGGATCTAAGGCGACTCACGCAAAGCCACATGGTCAGCAGGCCTCACTGGGGGGACAGCTGCACACTAACGGGCTGGCTTTACCTTACTGTGTGACTGAGCAAGGTGACTCTTTCTGGAGTGTTTTCTCAGGGGTTTGTCATGAGGAAAGCCTGGAGGGTGAGACACTTCGGATGTGCCAGGGTACAGGGTGTCGTCACCTCTGAGAGCACAGCCTGGATCTAGTTGAGACTTCTGAAAACATTGTTAACAAGAAAGACCGATGTGTGATGAATGGTATGTATACCCTGATCCATGTCTCAGTCTAGGGGCAGTTTAGCAACCAGAGCACAGCAGCGATGAGTTGCTAACATGTAAATCAGTACTTCTGTGTATGGGTGTTCTGCCTGCATGTATGTGTGTGTGCCTGGTGCCCGAGAAGGCCGAGTTATAGACAGTTGTAAGCTGCTATGTAGATGCTGAGAATCAAACTCAGGTCCTCTGCAAGAATAGCAAATGCTCTTAACTAATAAGCCAGCATTACAGCTCCAACATGCTACGTCTGTTGGTAACTGCTAACTTAGCTATTCCCACTAACACTCTTGGCTAACTCATGAGCTCAGCTCCACCTAGAGGGTTGTATGATGCTGTGGGGGAGCGGACAAGTTCTACTTCTCATCCAAATTTATAGATAACCTGAATTCCGCTGTCACGGGCACAGTTCACAGACCAAATTACAGAAAACCCTGGCCACAGGATGTGTTGGATTTTGTCCTGAGCAGGCCGGGTATGTAGGTGGGGCAGCCTGGGTCCAGAGAACGTTTGGTAATTCTCCCAGGAAGCGTACACTAACTCCTGCTGAACAACACCTGCCAATGCAGATGCACTTCTGGGGCTCCAGAGCTGGCATGGTGGTGATGCTCAACAAGCATGCGCTCTGATCCTAGCAGCCATGTCAAAAGCTGTACATGGCTGCGGGTGCCAGTAACTCTAGTGCTGTGGGCAGAGGCAGGACACTGCTGGGGCTGGACAGCCACCAGTCTAGTTCCAGATTCAGCAAAAACCCTGCTCAAGGGAACTCAGTAGTGTGAGAGGACACCTGACATCCTTCTCTGGCTTTGGGGAATGCGCAGGTGCACGATTCCCTTCCCCCACATATGCATACAGCACAAACACAGAATAAAAGGAGAAAAAGCGGGGCTGGAAAGATGACTCAGTATAGCACTGACTGCTCTTCCAGAGGCCCCGGGTTCAATTCCCAGCACCCACACGGCAGCTCACAACTGTCCACAATTCTAGTTCTAAGGGACCCGACACACATGGCAAAACACCAATAAACATCATGAATAAAAAGAAAAAAAGAGCCAGGTGGTGGTGGCACACGCTTTTAATCCCAGCACTTGGGAGCGGAGACAGGCAGATCTCTGAGTTCGAGGCCAGCCTGGTTTACGGAGTTGAGTTCCAAGACAGGCTCCAAATCTACAGAGAAACCCTACCTTGAAAAACCAGAGAGAGAGAGAGAGAGAGAGAGAGAGAGAGAGAGAGAGAGAGAGAGAGAGAGAGAGAGAATGTAGACCTGCTTTGTTATGGCTAGACAGGGCTCACCTGGGGAGCACACCTACAAAAGCCCTGTGACACCACAGACTGTAGTCCATGGAGGGTAGATGACATCAGGTGCTCTCAACAGCCAGAATAACAGGCACAAGGTCAATTAGACACGACGCTTCATAAGTACTTATACCCTAGCAGGAGAGGCAGTATTAACAGAGACTGTCAAACACAAACACACACACACAAACACACACACACACACACACACACACACACACACACACACACACACACACACACACACGACTTACCTGGACACCTGCTGACCCTTCAGTAAGCATTCCCAATGTGTTTTCACTGCCCTTTCCTTGTACTGAAGTATAGTACTGACCACAACGACAGGGCTCTCACCTCTAAGTCACAGAAGAGCAAGGGGCTTCGGTAGGTGTGGGCCAGCTTCACGACAGTGCTCCGGTGAACGCTGCAGTGGCTCTCCCGTCCAGCTGCAAAGAAGCCAGGCACATTGCAGGCTACATCTGCCAGAGGCCCACCTGCCTCTGCCTCTACCTCCTGAGCTACACCATGAGTCCCTGTCTCAAAGTACATTCTAAAATGGAGGTCGGAGATGGCTCAGCAGTTAAGAGCAATGACTGCTCTTCCAGACGACCTGGGTTCAATTCCCAGCACCCATGGTGGCTCACAACCATCTGTAACTGTAACTCCAGCTCTAGAAGATCCCATGTCCTCTTTGGACCTCCTCAGACAGCAGGTGGGGTAAGGAGAATCTCTCTGCAGGCCGCCATAGCAAGGGGCCACAACTGTGATTACGCTAACGCTCTAGCTGGGGTAGGGGTGAGCAGGAAGGGGCTCACACTTACCCCCTGTGGCGAGGAAGCAGACTTTCCCCAGGAAGAAGCGACTGTCCACATGGTTCAGAGATTCCTCTACCTTCTGGAAGCTGGGACACAAGTCCAAGCAAGAAAAAAAAAAAAAAAAAAAAGACAGAATTTTACAACACAGCCCCGCTTGGGTATGCCTCTAATACTACCACTCAGGAGGCAGAGGCAGGCAAAGTCTCTAACTTTGAAGCCAGCCTGATCTAGAGTTCCAGGACATTCGAGGCTACTTAGAGAACTCTGTCTCAACATTTCCCCCCCCCATGTTGTTTTTTGAGATGGGATGCCATTATTGTAGCTCAAGCTGGCGTCTATCTCCTGATCCTCCTGCCTCAGCATTCTGAGTGCTGAGATCATAATATACAATATTATGCCTAGCTAAAACCTGGGTTATTATTTTTTGATATTTATTCATTGTGTGTGTGCACGCACACACATCCATGGAAGGTACCGTGAAGTACTTGTGTGGGTCAGAACTGGGTTGAACTTGGGTGACCTTTTGAGTCAAGACCTTACGTAGTTCAGGCTGCCCTGAAGATGACCTTGAACTTCTGATCTTCCTGTCTCCACATCCCAAATGTTGGGATTTTCCCATCTGTTTATTTTTTCAAAGGTATTATTATTATTATTTTAAACTATGTGTTGATCAGTGCTTGCATGAATTTAGGTGTACAGGAGTGCTGGTGTCTGGAGGCCAGATGCATTGGATCCCCCGAGCTGAAGTTATAGATTGTGAACCTCCTATTGTGAGTGCTGGAAACCAAACTTTCATAACCACTGAGCCACCTGCCCAGCCCATACCCTGTTTGAAAATTTACTTTTACTTAGAGAGAAATTGATGAATGCTTATAATTGCTTATAAAATAATCAGGCAGTAAATATTGTGTACACACACCCACACACACACTTTAATAAGAGTCCTCTTTCATTGAGGATTCTTGGCTGCCAACTCTCTAGAGGAAACTGCTGCCAACAGTTTGGGGTGTAATTCTTCTAGGAATTTTCTCTGCAAATACCTGCTGTTTTTCTCAAATACTGTCCTGCATACTATCAACTCCTGACTGCTGTAGTTTTGATAGGGTTTAGTCGCTAACAGGTCATGTGCTGAAATTTAACCCCTGTAGAACCCAGCCCTGACAAGCTCCACAGAGGTCCCAATACCTGGTTCCAAGAAAGACCACAAACTGACACCACCTAGGAACAGACTGTCCAAAGGAAATTCTTAATATTCCAACCATTGTAGATAGGATCACCTGCCAGCACACACCCATCGCTTGTCACCAGGACACCCCTAGACAAATGTCAGCTAATCAGGCGTCCTAAACCTTAGCAATCCCTCACCCCAATGTCTGCTATTATAAAAACCAACCCCAGCTGAGCTCGGGGCTCTCCGATCACTCCAATACGTTGGACACATCGAGAGTTCGAGTTTGCAAACCTGTGTAGGAATAAAGGCTCTTTGCTTTTACATACAGGACTCGTTCTCCTAGTTGGTTTGGGGGTGAGTGACTCCGTGGCAATCTGCTGGCTTGGACTGTCAGCTGGGTACCCTGTTCCTTGAAGAGACAAGCCCCGCCCACTCCCAACCTCCCCCACGCTCACGTACCCCTCGTGGGACCGGTCTCAGGTCACACCCCGTTTATAAATGATCTGGGCATAACAACCCCCAGTGTAAAAAACCTCAGCGGAGCACTGGTTCACAGCACCACAAACAAGATAAACAGGAAACAGGGCATCAAGTGTAGGCGTGGAAAGTTAAGCGCCCTGACTCTCTTCCAGAGGACTTGAGTTTGCATCCCAGAACCCACAGGGCAGCTCACCACCGACTCTAACTGCAGGGGGTACGATGCTCCCAGAACCCACAGGGCAGCTCTCCACCGACTGTAACTGCAGGGGGTACAAAGCTCTCTTTTGGCCCCCTTAGGCACTAGGCACGGAGGTGCTAACGAACAGGTCCTGGTTCCTCTTTCAAACCCTGCAGCCCTCCCTCCTCACCCTAGGCAGCCTCTCAGGGCCCCGCCTTCCCATCACGTGGTTACCGTTCCAGCAGTGGCCAAGCCAGGTCCTCCAGAGGCCTGTCCTGGCTCTCACCTGTGTTTGCTGTGCAGGTTAATCACAAACACAATCAGGTCGATTCGGGGCCGGTTCACGTCAGAGGGCAAAGGGAGGGAGTTGGCCAAGTGGCTGAAAAACAAGAAGGGCAGGACTGAAAACAGGCGTAGCCACCTCACAGCGACTGCTCACGTACCTTCCTTTACCGCGGAAGGAGCTGCCTCTGGAATCCAGCACTGAGGTGGGACACAACCAGTTCTTCCCAGACCAAAAGCATAACATTTTTAAAAATGTTGTCATTTCCCCCCAAGACATGGTCAGGTGCGGCCTCTAACATTCTAAGTAGTTGAGCCCACTACAGGTGGCACCATTTTCTGGGAGGGGATCGGATTGTCTAAGAAGAAAGCAACCTAAGTACTAGCATGCATGCTTTCCTCTAGAGTGTGGATATGATATCACTGACTGCTTCAAGTTCCCGCAGCGCCGGCTTCTCCAGCCACCAAGGGCTGGAACCTGGCACTGTGAGCCAAGCATCTCTTATCCCTTGAGTTGCTTTCGTCAGAGTATCTTACGGCAGCAAAAGGAAGCTAAACCAAGGCACAGACCTCTGCTTTGTTTTTAGGTGCTGACGACCCAGAACTCCAGTGGGGTAAGTGGGCTTTTGGCGTTGTGTGTGGGTCATGAACATTTGCAGAGACTTGTAAAAAGTCAGTTCCGCCAGGGTGGGCAGGACGAGGGAGGACAGGTGGCATCTGGGAAGAGTTGGGCCCTCTCCTGCAGGCTTCCTTCCCTTCCCCGCAGGCCAGCCCAGAGTTCAGACTGCACCAACGAAACTTACACCCTCAGCTCGGAAGCACAGTCGTCTTTGAGCATGGACTCCGCCAGCTGCTGCAGAAGCGCATCCTCCGTGCCCACCAGCTGCGAAGGGAGAGGACCAGACAGGTGGAGACCCGAGCAGGGCGGCTCCGCTGGAGAGCCCAGCGCTTTGAATCCCCCATGAGGGTATACACCCAGCCAGAGGCGGCTCGAAGGGGAACCGGGAGAGCGGCACTCCAAGGAGCGCTCGGCCTCTCCCACCGAACGCGGGAAACCCAAGTTCGAACTGAAACGCCCACTCAAGCATGCGGCAGAGCCAGTCGCGCGCCCATTGGTGGAGGCGCTATTCAGTTTCGTAAGCCGCCGCTCCGATTGGTTCAGAGTAGTGATCCTGCCTACTCCGGACGGGCGCGCTGTGGCTTGAGGAAGCGCACGGGCCCGGGCTTGCGGGAAGCCGGCCCAGGGCGCCTTCCGTACTTACCAAGATGGTGGCCCGGTTCAGGTCAGGCAGCTTGTCCATCGGCCTCAGCACCGACATCTCAGCGGCAGCCGAGCCACCCAGCTCAGCGCGCCGCGCTTTCAAACCTTCCGGAGTCCCGCCTCCAGTGGGCGGGGCTAAGCGGGAACGGGCGGGGCTTGAACGTCTGGGCGGGTCTCCGCCTGCCGGCATTCTAAAAGAAACCGCCGCCTCTCTGCCTGCCCCTCAGGAGCAGTACGTGCTCTTAACTGCTGAGCCATCACTCCGGCCACTACCATCCTCCTCTTTAAAAAAAAAAAAATACTTAGTTCATTATATATATTTTTGAAGTTTTCAATTTAATTGAAACGAGTTTACAGACCGTCACGAGCTGCCACGTGGGTGTTCCGAATCCAACCTGGGTCCTCCGGAAGAACAGCCAGTGCTCTGAACGGTTGAGCCATTTCTCCTGATACAGCCTATTTCCTACCTGCCTATTCCTGAGGGTGTGATTTCTCTCTCCTCTAGTCTTGGGACCCCTCCCTTCCCCCTCCTACCAGAAAGTTCTAGTGTATGGTTTTTCTTTAAGTTCCTAAACTTCTCTCTTTAGTCTCTGTCTCAGCGGATTTCCACTTGATTGACAGACGCCATTCGGGAATCAGCTGTGGACTATAAACTTCCAATTGGCTTCGGGCCCTGGTCTTGCCGAAACATGACGTGACTGCTCCCAGTCTCTACAGCTGGGTCAGGGAACCAGATGCTGCTGTTGAATGCCCCATTGCCTGAGTCCCCTCCTGGCCACTGACTAACATTCCAGCCTCCCTGTGCCCTGACAAGAGGGTCCTAATTTCATCAGAAAGTAGACACAGAAGAGAGCATGTCTCCTCTATAAAAGGCTGGAATGTTAGGTCAAAAGGAAACCCTCTGATAGAGGGGACAAAATGGCTACCTATAATGCTTACTGGACTAGAAAGGGAAGTACCTGTTTAAAACCAAATAGACCCAAATCTATCAACAAGTAGACTCATTAGCTGAAATAGTTCTACAGTGTGATAGGGCACTCACTCGACCTGCTCTGTGCAGGACAAAGAGGTCATTGTGTGGCTTTAAGAAAAATTTTCTTTCTATGCAAAGCACTTGAAAACCATTAAAGAAACTTGGCAAGGATTAGACCTAACAGCGGAGAAAAGGTGGCCTTTGCCTCTTCCTCTGGGAGGAATGTTGCTTCTATGTCAACCAGTCAGGTATAATAAAAGACAAAAATCGGACATCTCCAGACAGATCTCGAAAATCATAAGAATCAACTTAATGCCTCTGGCCAGTGGATTGTTGACTGTCCAGTAGGGAATTGGAATTTGCCTTTTGTTTTGTTTTGTTTTGTTTTGTTTTGTTTTGTTTTTCAAGATTAGAATTTCTCTGTGTAGTCCTGGCTGTTCTGGAACTCACTCTGTGGACTAGGTTGGCCTTGAACTCAGAGGTCTGTCTGCCTCTGTTTCCTGAGTGCTGGGATTGAAGGCGTGAGCCACCACCGCTGGGCTAGAATGGTTTTCTCTTTTTAGAGTCTTACTAGTATTAGAACACATGCTAAGCAAGCGTTTGCCACTGAACTATATCCCCAGCCCACATATTGCCATTCTTAACTCCTCTTCACCTCCTTTCCCTAGTTCCACTAATTGCACCCTGTCTCATAAACTTCTTGTCTAGACTTCTTCAACAGCAGACTCAAAAGATTTCTCATCAGACATTTAATCACTTGTTACAGGATCTTGTTATAACCTGATTATAACAAGATAATCATCCCCAGAGGCCTAGGACCCCCATTGCACCCACATGGTGAAAATCAAGCTTGCCCCAAAGATTTGATACCCCCAAACAACAGGAAGTAATCTAGCAATACCCCTCTGTTGTTTTTTGTTTTGTTTTGTTTTGAGACAGGATTTCTCTGTGTAGCCCTGGCTGTCCTGGAACTCACACTGTAGACCAGGCTGGCCTCGAACTCACAGAGATCCACCTGCTTCTGCCTCCCAAATGCTGGGATTAAAGGCGTGCGCCACCACACCTGGCTCTGCTCTACATCCCACCGCTGCAGTATTAGGACTGCCGTTGTCATCTATCACCTGGACCATCTCACTTGCTCCCTGCTCTAAGGTTCTCCACATAGCATCTGGGTCCTTTTGAGACAGAAATCAGAAGATGCAACTTCCTTGATCCCAACCAGCCCCTGAATCCCATCTCAGCGTGCTGCAAACACGTGGCACGATCCACAGGCATCCTGACTCCTGACAACTTCCCTGACTTCAACAGCTCTTAGCCCTTCAGTAAACAGCCCCACCCTCACGGCAGCCCCTGGCTGTCCTTGTTCAGGACCTTGTCCTTCTTCCTCTTGGTCCCTCTGAAATCTCCCAAACAGTCAGAACTTGTCCCTTACTTCATGCCTCTGCTCCAATTTCAAACTGTCATAGGGGTTCACTCTTTTGTGTGGCTTTTGTTTTGTTTTGGGACAGGTTTTTACTCTGAGATGCCTGCTGGCCTTCGCCTCTGGGCAGTCCTTCCTGCCTCAGCCTCTCCAAGGGCTGGGATTACAGGCAGGAGGCACCATGGGCAGTTAGAGGGAGGATTTTCTTTGCATTTATTTTTTACATTTTGCTAATTGACCGTGTGTGCACATATGGGCACGAGTGCCATGGTGTGTGGTGCTCAGAGTATTTGCTTCTTTCCCTCCACCATCGTCAGAGCCAGCGGCAAACACCTTTACCCATGAGGCCACCTCACTGGCCATTTTCTTTTCTTTTTTTAAAAGATTATTTGTTTATTATGTATACAACTTCTGCTTCCATGCATAGCAGAAGAGGGCACCAGATCTCATTACAGATGGCTGTGAGCCACCCTGTGGTTGCTGGGACTTGAACTCAGGACCTCTGGAAGTGTCAGTGCTCTTAACTGCTGAGCCATCTCTCCAGCCCCCACTGACCCATTTTTTTAAAAATGATTTTATTAGCATGTATTATATGTAATCATGAAATATGTAAGTATTTTGGTCCCCTCCCACTCCCGGAAATCTCCTTCTTCCTCCTAAATAGTTCCTGGGTGGAGGTCTTTCTTTTCTTTTTTCTTTTTTTATTTCAAGACAGGGTTTCTCTGTGTGTCTCTGGCTGTCCTGAACTCCTTCCCCTTCTCCTCCTCCTTTTTCTTTTCTTCATGTTTTTATTTTATGTGCATGAGTGTTTTGCCTGTAAGTGCACCACATGTATGCAGTACCTGAGGAGGCCGGAAGAGGGCATCGGGTTCCCTTGGAACTGAAGTTATATCCAGTTGGGAGCTGCCATGTGGGTGTTGGGAATGGAAGCTGGATCTTTTGCAAGATCAGCAAGTGTCCTAAACCACTGAGCCATCTCTCTAGCCTGTAGATTGTTTTTGCTTTTGTTTTTTTTAAGACAGGGTCTCACAATAAGGCCCCATTTGTCCTAGAACTCTCTTAAGTAGGCCAGGTTGGCCTCGAACTCAGAGATCTGCTTGCCTTTGCCTCCCCTACTGGGATTAAGGGTGTTCACCACTTTACCTAGCCCTAGATTGATTCCTTAACAATACAGTTATTTGTCTATTGTCTGTCTGTCCAACTAAAGATATAGGAACTCAGCTGGGCAGTGGTGGCACACGCCTTTAATCCCAGCACTTGGGAGGCCGAGGCAGGTGGATCTCTGTGAGTTCCAGGCCAGCCTGGTCAACAGAGCAAGTTCCAGGACGGACAGGCTCAAAAAACCAAAAAAAAAAAAAAAAAAAGCCCCCAAACAAAACAAAAAGCCCTCCCCAAACAAATAAACAACAACAACAAAAAAACAAACAACAACAACAATAACAAAAACCCCAGGTATATGAGCTCAGAGACTTTGTCACCTTGTCTATCCAACACATTCTAAGTGGTAAGTGGTACATTGTAGTTGCTTATAAATACTTGTTGAGTGAAGGAACTACCTTCCATCCATCCATTCTCATTAGTCATTCATAAATACCAGACTGAATGCCTAAGTTTAGGAATACAGATACACAAGACATGTCAGGCCTGTGATGGGAGGAGACAAGGGTGACACCGTACTTAATTTTTATTTTTAAATTTTTAAAAATTTCTTCTTTGGTAATTTCATACATAAATACAATGTGTTTAGATAATATTCCCCAACACTGATTCCACCTTCTCTTTTACCCAGACCTGACCCCCCATCCCTTTTCTAACTTCCTCTCCTCTTTTTTAAAAATTTTTTTCCAATTTTTTTTTATTGAGCTATATATTTTTCTCCGCTCCTCTCTCTTCCTTCCCCCTCCCTTTCTACTCTCTCCATGATCCCCACACTCCCAGGAGAGCTTGTCTTTCTCTACTTCCCATGTAGGTTAGAGACCCTGTGCTTATTATGACTTCCGAGGAGCCTAAGTCTTCCTCCTTGACCAACCTAAATCCTTACTGTACACTAAACTTGTCCCACTTAGAAAGAGAAGGAACTCAAAGGCTTCCTGGAGCTGCTGTTCCCCACACAGGCAGCGCTTTGATTCTAACGGCCTAGAGTTTCAAGGGGCTCCCCCAAAATCAGACATTAACAGGAACTATGAAGAAAAAAGTAAAGCAGGCAAGAGGGTGATGGATGAGCGGAAGTTGCTTTGGACCAAGGGAGGCCTCACTAGGAAGATGCTGGGGCCCATTCCCATCTCCTAGAGGGAGGAACCAATAGAGGATAAAAAGCTTCTGCAGAAAACCTTGAAATGCAGAGACCCCAGAGGGGAGCCCTGCTAAGAACCTGAGATCACAGAGGCCTGGGGCCAGAGCAAATGGAGGAGGAAAGGAGATGCGGCCCAGGTGACCCCTCCCGGTCTCAGGCCATGCAAAGACTTTGGCTTTTGGTCTGGGCTTTTCAGTGGGTTCCGGGATGAGACCCAGTTAATCAACAGGTGCTCACCTTAGCAAGCCCAGCGCTGGGCATAGGGCACTCAGAGGGCACTCAGTCTCAGGGGGTCATCAGCAAAAACAGCAGCAGTGCCAACATGGAGAGTCACCAGGGAGCAGCCGGGAGCCGAGCAAAGGTACGAGATAAACGTGCATTAAATGTCCCATGGGAACCCAAACACACCACACTCCATTGGAGAGATATGATTGCTGGCTGAGGGGCCACGGAGAGTTGGAACCTGTCAATGTGGGCATTGGCATAGAAGATAGTTGTATGTGCGCTCTACACTGTGATGAAGGGTCAGGACTAACAGGAAGGCTAGGCCCAGGCCTCAAGGGTTTTATCTCATGAATACTTACAGACAGTCAACATCTGAGTCACCATTTCTTTTTTTTTTTTTTTTTTAGATTTATTTATTATGTATGCAGTGTTCTATTTGCATGTAAACCTGCACACCAGAAGAGGGTGCCAGATCTCATTACAGATGGTTGTGAGCCACCATGTGGTTGCTGGGAATTGAACTCAGGACCTCTGGAAGAATAGCCAGTGCTCTTAACCTCTGAGCCTTTCTCTCTCTCTCTCTCTCTTTCTTTTTTTTTTTGAGGCAAGATTTCTCTGTGTATCCCTGGCTGGAACTCACTCTGTAGACCAGGCTGACCTCAAACTCACAAAG